AAAATAAAAAACCACACGTTAAAGTAGAAATGTGGACAACTGAAGTTAAAAATGGAAAAATGAGAAACTGAAAGTGATGGATTTGCCCATCCCTGCCTGTACCACAAACTTGGTCTGTAGCACCCTCTGCTGCTCATTGTAGAATAGTTCAATACACCCCTGTTTTGTTATACAATCTATAATACCCCAACACCCCGCAAACATCCTTTTCATTGTACATTCTTGATGGTTTGTGCTCATGATGGTTTGGGGGCAGTTACATGCCACCCAACTGTTTGCACCAGCAAAAGTTTCAGGGGGACATATAGATTCATTTCCCATCAATGCCTGTCCCATAACCTCCTACTGAATTCTGCAACTTTTTATACCACTAGTGTTCCAGGGTTTCTTTCAGTGATAAAAAGGTAAAGGGACCCCTGACCATTAGGTCCAGTAGTGGACAACTCTGGGGTTGCGGCGCTCATCTCGCTTTATTGGCCGCTTCTGGCGAACCAGAGCAGCGCACAGGAACGCCGTTTACCTTCCCGCTGGAGCAGTGCCTATTTATCTACTTGCACTTTGACGTGCTTTCGAACTGCTAGGTTGGCAGGAGCAGGGACCGAGCAACGGGAGCTCACCCCGTCGCGGGGATTCGAACCGCTGATAGCTGGTGGCAATTGGGACAGGTAGGGCAGAAAGCAGTGAGACCAACAGCAGGTGGAGCCAGAGCCAATGACAGGTAGAGCCAACTACTTCTGGTTTTGTACCCATCCTCCTCCTTGCTGAGTCGTACAAGAGCAACACCAAGACTCGGGGAGGAAACTGACATGCTGTGCTACCCCTCCGGAGTTGCTGTCTACAAGAAGACAAGCAGGTCGGAGGGATTGGCTGAGGGAGGCCTGATGTTGGTGGAGCAGTGCCCCATTTGGCCTAATAGACCAATTGCCTCTGGTTCCTTCTGTGTTGCTTGTGAGATAACTAGCCTCATAATAACCAACATCCTTAAGTCTAGCTAATGCACGAAGGGGTTAAGTTCAAAGAGTGAACTGTCCCATCAGGCTTAGCTCACCTTGGGAGGGACTAGGTAATTAAGCCTCTGTTCCCCCAGTCTACCTGAGAAGCTCAGCATGCGAGGAAGTCTTTGCTGGTTGCTGCAGCTCAAACCACATGGCTCTCACAAGCCATCCTTGAGTTCTATAGGAAATAATTTAGGAACTTTACCACTGTAACTAAGCCAAATTTTACTGCCCGTAACACTTTTTCTCAGTGCTATATGGAAAATCACACGAACCTGTCCTTTGGAGAGTTTGTAAGTAAACCATTTTTAACTTACCAGATGTATGGGTGTGCCCCCCCCATGCCAGGGGAACAGGGAAGTTTTGGAACTCTCAGTTTTGAAGGTCTAACGGCCTATATTTCCACACTTTGTTTTGCTGCATATTTTGTGACTTTAAATCTCTGCTGGGGTTTTCACCAAAGAGTACTTTCTCCATCCCTGGGTATTGGCACCCAGGAATTCTCTTTTCATATATACCGTAATTATTTTTCCTTGCACCATCGCTGCTTTTGTTGTGCTGTGTTGCAGGAGTGCCCCTCCAGGTGGCAATAGCGCAGTAGCATTGGGGAAGCACTGCAGAAAGTGGAAGGATGTGTGGACAGTCCAGTATGAATACACCCACTAATGCAATATTATTGCATCAGTCACATGCTGCAGAATGTACACACACAAATCCCTTGTGTAACAAATTGCTGTAATCTAAACTGGAGGTGATGAGATTGTGGGGAGGACAGTGCCCAGGCGGTCTCTGCCCAATATATAAAGACCTGGGATACAGTATACGCTTTTTGATGGCCCAGCACAGGATGCACAAGGATGGGGATAGCCATGTATCTAGCAGCCTTTGCCAGATTCACATATTGTGTTTTGTTTAGCTGGATTCCCACATTGATCCTAATCTATATGTTGCTGAAGTCTTGCTTAAATGGCTTTTGTTAACAAACTGGTAGATCAGGGACAGGGGACTGTGGCCATCCAGATGTTGCTGACTCCGCCCCCATATCCTCATTGGCCATGCTGTGTGGGCTTAATAATAATAATTTATTATTCTTTATACCCTGCCCATATGGCGGCTTCCAACAGAATATTAAAATACAATACAGTGGTACCTCTGGTTGTGAACGGAATCTGTTCCAGAGCCCTGTTTGCAACATGAGCAGAATGCAACCCATGTCTCTGCGTGCGCGGGTTGTGATTCGCTGCTTCTGCGTATGACGTCATGTTGAGTGTCTGCGCATGTGCGAGCGGCAAAACCCAGAAGTAACCCTTTCCGGTACTTCCAGGTCGCCACAGGACACAACCTGAAAAGATTTAACCTGAAGCAAACGTAACAAGAGGTATGACTGTAACCTATTAAACATTAAAATCTTCCCTAAACAGGGCTGCCTTCAGATGTCTTCTAAAAGTCTGGTAGTAGTTTCTCTCTTTGACATCTGGTGGGAGAGCGTTCCACAGGGCAGGTGCCACTACCAAGAAGGCCGTCTGGCTGGTTCCCTGTAACTTGGCTTCTCGCAGTGAGGGAACTGCCAGAAGGCCCTTGGCACTGGACCTCAGTGTCCGGGCAGAAGGATGGGGGGGGGGGAGACGCTCCTTCAGATTTACTGGACCGAGGCCGATGGGAGTTGGAACCCAGAGCACAGACCCTCCCCTGGCCACGCCCTCCTTGAGTGCTTTTTTTGCCTGGCTGTTGTAATGTGTCTTTGAGCTGTGCTAATCTCTCCTGTTTGCCTGGAAGGGCAATGAAGAGAGATGTGTTTTAAAACCTCTGGCTTCTACAAGGCTGGAGTATAACCCTGAGCATTTCCAGGCAACCTGTTTTGTTTGCAAGATGCCCTGTTCGCAAGATGACCATTGCATTGCATTGTACAAAAGCAAACGTCACCTCACATTTTCCTGTGCATTTTCCCATCACATTGGGGGGGGGGGGAGCAAAAAAAAAAAATTCAGTGAAGCTTGTTTGTGGCACCAGAGCTCCAAAAATGGCTTTAACTATGCAACCTGAATTTACCGGTTTGTGACTGAGTCCCACCTGAAAATAGCAACAGCCTGGAAGCTCTACTATTGGACAAAGGTTTGCATCTGGCCCCACCCACCCCTGGCATATGGCCCCCAGAAGGTTGTTTGCAAGGGAATGTGGCCCTCTGGCTTAAAAAAAAAAGGCTCCCCATCCCTGATGCTGAAGGAGCACAGGTGGTCTGAACCATCTGCCTCTGGGGAATGCAGTTCAACCCACCTGGCAATTTCCATGCATCCTCACTCAGTCATGATCTGGATACACCTGTAAGCGTAGGAGTTAAAACTATGAGGGCCTCCTGAATGCATTTCAAGTATGCCAAGAGGGTGGGGGAGGGTTAATGATAACATTTTGGCAAAGGGAGAAGGAAAGAGGATGGACACAATTTACATATCAGCAGACAGGAACCTCTCTATTGGCTTTTCCAGTGCCTGTTGAAGACATTCCTTCTCCAACAAGCCTTTGAAGTGTGGAGATACTTATCCCTCCCTGTATCTCTACTGGACGTGAAACTGTTTTTACATAGGAAATTGTTCTCGTTGATGCAATTGTTTTTTACTGCATGGTGTCCTTTTTAAATTGCTTTTAATTGCCAGTGATTTTTCTGTGAAATTGTTTTCAACATATTTTAAGGGAAGTGATTCATCAGTGGAAATCATTGGATAACTCCTATTGGTGGGAGGCTGGATTCAGGTGAATCTTTGGTCTTGCCTAAAAGGGCAGTATTTATTTATCCATTACATGAATATACAACCTTTTCCTCCGGGAGCTTGAGGTGGTGTACATGGTTCTTCCCCTCCCCATTTTTTCCACACAACAACCCTGTGAGGTCAAGGCCACCCAGTGTGCTTCAATCTGAACCCTGGTTTCCCAGGTCCCAGTCCAGCCAGCGCTCTAATTACACCACACTGACCATTCAGTTGTTAATAAGGCCCTCCTTGTATTCGTATTATTACTATTAAAATAGTACTTATAATTAATAGTAATTCAATCTAATAACTGATGCTATTAATTGGTATCAGTATTAATAAGGCTCTTTGGAATGCTCCCCCATAATCATGTAGAAACATATGTTTATAAATTATATTTATAAAGGTTGGTGTTTCCAGTCTGGTTTTGGTTTTTGCATTTTTGTTGTTGTATTTTGTCACTTTTTTTGTTGCATTTTAATGCTTATATGTAGGTGTGGATTTATTTTATTCATGCTTTTATACGCTGCCCTGGAATCTCTTAATGAGGAGGGCAACCAAGAAATATTTTAAATGAATATTTTTGGGGCTGACAAAGACCTCCAGACGTCCAGGGTAGAGAGAATTGTTGGGCTATCAGCAACAGAGGAAGAGGGATTATAATCAGGGTGATATGGGGTGAGGAATCTAGTCTTCTCAAACCCCAAATATTTATTCTCAGTATCCTCAGAGGGAACAGATTAGCGGTGGGGAGATGCATGCCACGAAGCTAAGAATAAAATTAAAAACCCTCTCCGCATCGCGGACGTTGCAGTAGGAAAGGAGACTGTAGTGGTTAGAGCCAGCGTGGTGTACAAGTTAGAGATTAGGACTTGGGAGGCCAGGTCACTGGGTGATTTTGGGTCAACCACTGCCTCGCAGCAGCCCCTAGCCTACCTCACAGGGCTGTTGTTGGGGTCAAATGGGGAGGGGGAGAGAACCACGCATGCCATCTTGAGCTCCTTGCAGAAGGGTTACGAATGCACTAAAGCGCTCAATCAAGAAAAGCGCTTGCAGCTCTACACCCACTCTCCTGCGTCTCCTTTTGAGTAGACGCGTCTTTAGGAGCGCACCGTCGGCGTCCTTCAGTGCCATGCGCCGGCTGGAGTCAAGCCAAGTCCGCCTCTCCGCTGCGAAATACGGTAAGCAGCTGTTCGGAAAGGCGAGGCGAGGCGAGGTTCCACCCCCGGGGGGCGCTTGGCCGCTCTCATTGGCTGGCCGCGCTCTTCTTAAAAGCAGAATGTGAAGTTCTGCTGTCTTGTGCCGGCTGGGGAAAGGAAGAGCCGCAGACATGGGGAAGCTTGCCTTGGTCCTGATTCTCTGCTCGTGGAGCTTTGCTTTAGGTGAGTAGGTTCCGGCTAAAGCAGCTGTGGCTTTTGCATTTCTGGGCGCTGCAGACGCGATCTGACAAGGAAGCCCAAGAGATTGGGTTTGCAGCTGCTGTGTGCTCTTCCTTAATGTGGGGAAAGGCCCCATCAAATCATAACAATAGATGAGGAAGGATTGCCAACTGACCGCACTGGGCAGCATGGTCTGGCCTGCTCTTGTGCCTTTTCAACTATTCCTTTGGCTGTGTGCAGCTAAGTTCTACTCGGGAGTAGACCCATTGAAATGGATGCACCTAAGTTAGTCATGGCCATTAGTATCAGTGGGCCTGCTTGAATATGGCTAACCTTGAATGTCACCCTTGGTTTGTAAGGATGGGTAAGGGAGGTGCTATCTTCTGCGTGGAGGAAAGTGGGGCTCTGTGTTAATATTTGTAGATCAAGATGCTGTTAAAAGCATGGGAGTATGGGGCTGGTGAAATGTTGGCATGCCATCATTTAATCCTATTTTCCTCTCACCTTCTGGTATCTACTGATCCACTGTTATCTACAAGGCACTTTCAGCTGTGAAATTCTGTGTCAGTGGGGTGCTGTTTAGGACTGGATGTTCTCCTCCTCTGTCTTTGTGTGGAGTTCATGGTATATGCCAGTTCTACATGTATGTTACCCTCCATATGCACAAGCAGCTATTCACAATTTGCACACATGCAGCACTGCTTTATGTGTGAATGTATGTTTATTTCAGTCATTTATATGCTGCTTTACATCATAGCAACTGAGGCTCCATACACACCATACAGTTAAAGCACATGTCTTCCCTCAAAGAGTCGTGGGCATTGTAGCTCTGGGAGGGAAAGTACTACAGTTTCCAGGATTCTTTGGAGGAAAAACCATGTGTTTTAAATGTATGGCGTGTACAAAGCCAAGGTCTCCTTGAAAGTATGAGAGGATGTTTGGAGGTGATGTAAGGCAATGCTGCTTTTGGCATGTAGCTGTGCCAGTCTTTTTTCTCCCTGACAGGATCGGTGCCTTGAGCTGCTGTGAAATAGGCAGGAATCCAACAGATGTAGCAGTGGAGGGTGTAGCTGTATAGTGGCATAGCGTGGGGGGTGCAGGGGGGGCTGGCCGCACCGGGCGCAACATCTGGGGGGGGCGCGCTCGCACTCGCAGCTCTCTGCCCCTACCTGGCTCACTCACTCTAGGGGGCGCAAATTACTTGCCTTGCCCCGGGTGCTGACAACCCACGCTACGCCACTGTAGCTGTACCTGGTTGAATATCTGCCTGTTGCACTTCTTTTCTAGGTACACAGCCTGTGACCAATAAAGGTGTGAAGCTCTTTGGTGTCTTCTTCTAGAGGAGACTAGAAAAAAGAGTCAGGGAATGAAGTGAGTGAGGGAAAGAAACATGAGGTCATCTGTTGGGTTGCTTAATTTACTTGATTCATAGGATTTGCTTTGTATCACCACCTTTTGCAACATAGGAATAATTAACAGGTCCCTCCAGCTGAGTATTGTCTACCCTGACTGGGTTTTAGATAGGGGACATTCCCAGCCCCTCTTTAACTCTGGATATGGCAGAGTTTGAACCCAGGATCTTCTGCATGCAAGGCAGATGCTCTACCACTGAGCTATGATCCTTTTCGCTCTCCAAGTAATTTGGAATGCAGGCATTTTAAGCTGTTGCCTTTAGTTTTAACTCCCACACATACAGGTAGATCCAGAGGCATCTTTGAGTTAGGATGCATAGAAACTGCTAGGGCAGCATTCCCCAAAGGCTATGGGTTCAAACCTCCCTTGCTCATAATGCCAATCTGTTTCATCTGCATCTGGAGGCAAGTGGGCTTGGGCTGGCTGCAGCTGTTAGCTGTACTTCTGGCCACACCCTGGTGCCTCTGGATCTTTTGAACTCCAGCTTCCATCAGCCCCTGCCAGCATATGGAAACTGGAATCCAAAACATCTGGAGGGTGCCAGGTTGGCAAAAGTTATCCTTCTGTATCCTACACTGCAGAAAGGGTTATGGCAGTTGTCATGAAGAGGAAGCCACATAGAGGTTGTATAAGCAAAAAAAAACCCAACTTTAATGCTGACTCAGGTAGTTTCTGGTATGGCAAGCCAAGAGAGCCAATGCAGTATGCCAACTTTCCCCAACTTGGTGCCCTCCAGTTGTTTTGGGGCCAAGGCTCTCGTCATTCCAGACCATTGGCCATACTTGCTGAGACTAGTGGTGGTTGTAGGCCGGAACATCTGAAGAAAGCACCAGGTTGGGAAATCCTGGGCTATGTTGTAACCCCAGGTCTGCATATCTTCAGGGAGACAGCCTTGTCACAGTTATCCACACCCTGATGACCTCTTGATTAGATAACTTCCAATGTCACCAGCAACATTCCAGAGTCGTTCACCCCATGAATTGGGAAGGGTATTTTGGCTCAGCCCTACTCTGTGTTGTGTGCTCAGCCGAGGAATTTCTTTTTGGTACCAGATACTATGTTCCACCCCAGGACCCTAAGTTTCTTTCGCTTCTGCACCTCCGTTTAGAGAGAATTTTTAGTTGCTGCTGGGAGTCAGAAACTAGTGCTGAGCTATTGCAGATGTACAGTAGGTTCTCATCTATCTCGTGTTCAAAACACTTAAAGGATGTGGGAAAAGCTTGACCCAGGATGTTTGTGCTTGCAGTGTGCAAACTAGTACGATGCCCTAAGCTGGAGGTCTCAGCTGGTCGGTCTAAATAAATTTGACCCAATGTATTGACTGGCTGCAAATAGCAGAAGTCAGAGATGTTATTGAGGTTCTGAAGCATTTCCCCACATGCCGCAGGTGACAAAATCCTTTGTGAATGTGTGCTAACAGTTACATAAGGCAAATACCCTGATTTCTCCAGTGATAGCATCTTTAAACGATTGGAACACTTGCTGGGATTTGCATTGCTCTCCTCTCGGTGAAATTTGCTTAATTGTGCTGCAAGAAGGAAGTGCGCACCCACTGAAGAACAATGACACTGAGTAACATCACACATGAACATGATTAGTGTATTTTTCCCTCACTGGGCATATTGCATCACTGGTACCTGTCATAGTGAGCGCACAATGGAGCTTTAGCAATTGAAATAGTTTGGGAAATACACAGTGTTTTGACTTGTCACAGATACTCGCTGCCTGGAGTCAAGGCACTGGTCCATCTAGCTCTGTGTTGTCTACACCAGGGTTTCCCAAACTTAAGTCCCCAGCTGTTGTTGGACTACAACTCCCATCATCCCTAGCTAGCAGGACCAGTGGTCAAGGATGCTGGGAGTTGTAGTCCAACAACAGCTGGAGACGCATCTTTGGGAAACCCTGGTCTACACTAACTAGCAGCAGCTCTCCATGATTTCAGGCAAGGTTCTCTCCCAGCCCCACCTGAAGATGGAACCTGGGACCTTCTGCTTGCAAGGCAGATGCTCTGCCTCTTAAGTAATTTCACAGATTTGTTGGAAGAGAGAATCTGTACTGTGAAAATTCCTGCTACATTTCCCAATCAATTAAAAGAAATGCATGGCTGGCTTATTTTGTGAAATTTTGAGTACATAAAATTGCTCACTTGCTCTTTTGATAACAGGTGTAGCAGCCTTTCTAGTAGAAGGACTTCTCATTCCCTTTTGAGCTTGACAAACTGGCAGAGCCAGAGTGACTTTCCATGTCTGTCCTGTATAGAAAACCACAGCTCAAACAGCAGCTGCAGTTTCACTCAGAACCACATGAGAGTATGTGGGAGGGCAAAAACATGAGTCAGTTGTACTTCAGTGGTCAGAGTCACAAATAATGGTTTTAATTTCGCCACCCAGATGCTCTGGGCAGATGTATCAAAAGGCTGAAACCTGCTTTCAAGTAGATCTGGAGAATGACGTTTCCCTGGGGCTTCCTGGGAACTGTAGTTTTGAGACTGGCAGGACTTCCCAGCTCTTCCTGTCTTCTAACCCTAACTCTGCCCTCTTGCAAAACTACGATTCTGGGGAATTTCTTTGCTAGAATCAGGTAGCAAAAGAGATCAGGTGGTGAAACTCTCATCTTCAGAACTTTTAAATTCTGGGTGGGCCTCATCTTGAGCACTGGAAATTATAAATAGCCACTCCCTGTACAGACACCCACACCAAATGACATAAACAATGAATTGGTTAAGAGCATCATTCCACAGTCTTGCCTTCTGGTCTCAAGATTCAGCCACATATAGATGATCCCCCTACTATAAGGGCACCAAAAAGAAAATCAGTGTGAGGGTCCATTCCTTTCTGAGAAGCCTTCTGAGGGTCGTATGCAAGCAGTGGACGGGACAGAGGTAAAAGTGGGTGGAGCAATTAATGCAAATTTTATCCTTCATGCATTAGGCTAGTTTCTGCAGAAACCCCCACACCCCTTTCTGTCCTCCATCCAAGCAAGCAGGAAGCACTCTGAGTCAGGTAAAAACCTTTTGGAGGGAAGTGAGGCTTGTGAGAGGTGTGGCCAAGGGAGCCAGATAGAGGGCTGCCTTTGCCCCTCGGGTACAAGGTTCCCCCATCCCTGCTCACTTCCATAGGAATCATAGAACTGTAGAGTAGAGTTGGAAGGGACCCTGAGAATCACTTAGTCCAACCCCCTGCAATGCAGGAATATGCAGCTGTCCCATACGAGGATCGAACCTGCAACCTTGGCATTATTAGCACCACGCTCTAACCAACTGAGCTATCCAGGGATGTACTGGCATTGAGTGTTTTTGCATTGTTGATTTTCAGTGGCTCATGCTGGAGGCCTAGGATAGCTGTACCCTGAATGATCTGTGTGGAAAAGTATTTCTTGTGTCCCGAATGTCCCACTATTCATTGGGTGCCCCAGGGACAGAGATGCAGTGGTCCAGGTTTGGGGTGTGTGTGTGTCAAAGTCCTGTCACTATTTCTGCAGCATTGTCCTAGAGCTGCTGAAACACTAGGAAGCGAAAGCTTTTTAGCCACTGAGAAGAAGTCTTCTCATGGTTTGTGCTACTTGGGGTCAAGCAGAATGAAAGGAGGTGAGTCAGCTCCTGAGGATGGGCTCCTAGGGTCACTCTGCAGAAGGAACGTGGGAAGAACTGGGAGGAATCGGCTTCATTCTGTATGCTCCAAAGCTAAGCATTTGGCAACACTGAAAACACAAGGCACTTCCATTTCAAGGAAACAGTGTGCAAATTCTGTTACATACAAAGGAACTTCAAGGGAAACACAGCTTAAGTCACTTAGAAAGAAGCTACTGAGTATCATTTGCCCATGTATGTGCACAGGAAATAGTAGATCTAGCTGAAAGGCAACACATGGAGCTGCAGTGATTGTTGCAACATGTCCCTAATTATTATTGTTGTACAATTGTGAGATGATACAACCTTCTAAAATTATTATATAATCTTAGAAGGGTGTGTGGCTTTGGCTGTCTGAATTTGCCACTACAGTGCTATCCAGGGAGGAATTCAGCATTGTGCTCTTCTGATCGTTCCCTTAAGTGCAAGCATTTCAGTTTGCCAGGTGGAATGATCTGCCCTCTTCTCCCCCACACCCTGTTCTGGTGTTTCATTAACCTACTTTCCTAATACTTAGGAAGCTGCCTTATTCCAAGGAGACCATTAGTCCATCTAGCTCAGCATTGTCCTGCAGTCGCTCTCCAAGGTTTCAGACAGGAGTCTCTCCCAGTCTTACTTGGAGATGACCAGGATTGAACCTAGGACCTTTTGCATGCAAGGCAGATGCCCTGCCAATGAGCTATAGCCCTTCCTTGCTATGGAAGGCAGTTGGATTTTGGTGTCTTCAGGAAAAATGCTGACATGGATGAACTTGGAGAGCAGCAAGGCATGTCTCCTCCTGAAGCTTTCCTGCTTCCAAATTAGAGGCTGCTTCCTGCAACCTGCTCGCCCAAATGCTCCAACCCTAGCCGGGAGCCAATAGCAGCTGGGGCTGCTTGTTCCATGTCAGCTTTGCACAGATGTGACAAAACTGATTTATTTATTGAATTCAAGTTTAATAGTAAGGATTACATAGTAAAATACAAGGGGAATAGAATGTAGCGAGGCTTGCTGTCCTTCACAGTGGGAGGTTCATCTGCTGCCATGTCAGACAACCTTTCTGGCATCGGCAAATTAGGGTCTTGCCCACTTTGCGGGAAATGTTGGCATCAAGGAAGAGGCGGGCCCCATTCTCGGGGTGTGTCGGCTTTGGTTTGCGCGTTGTTTAATAGTCATTCCAAACTGAAAGTTGCTTAATGACAGGGACAAGCGTTATAAGGTTAGGAGTCATAGGTGTTCCTTGGCACTGCTATTAAAGCATCTCTTTATGACAAGCTTATCAGATATATATTTTGGGTTTGGTCCCCTATTTTTGCCCTTGCGCAATTTTTAATCCTGCTTCTGGGGTGCTTTCCAATGTAGCACCTGAAACTCTCCCATTTCCTCTTCTGTCATCCGAACAACTATTTCTATTTCCTGCATTTTAATCAAATCGCAATCTAAAAAATTGTATTCTTGCAAATCCTTTCATCCAAAAGTCGACATTGATTGATTCTACGGCATTTATACTCTTTAGTCAAAAATTATCTTGGAGAGGCTTACAAAGATCAACTCTAAGATGGTCCCTGGCCTCCAGTTCATAATCTAAAACTAAATGACACACAAGGAAAAAGGAGGAGGAGGGAGGAGGAGAAGAAAGAAAGCTCTAGCTCCAAAAGTTACAACTGATGTCAGTAGTGGGGCTGGCTGCCTTGCCCTTGATAAAGATCAGCCCCTCCTCTGAAGCAGAGCTGGTGACAGTGTCTAGGGCTGGAGAGTAGAAACAAAGAGTTTTCTAAGTACGAGCAGAGTGAAGAGGTGTGTGTCCTAAAAAGAATTACTTAAGAGCAGCCAAATTACCCTTTGGAGAACTCGCCCAGCAATTCATGCTGTAAAGCTGTCATTGGTTGGTTTGTGAATATCTGTCAGTCCATGAAATGCCCAGTGCCAACTAAAAATATTAAGACTTAACATTTGTATAGCACGTTCAAATGTTTAATGTGTTTCACATGCATTCTCTAGTTGTAATCCTCACAAAAGCCCCAAACAGTAAATTGGCATGGGTAGTATTATCCCCATATTGCAGATGTGGGAAGTGAGGATAACTGAGAGGGTAAAAGCCACTTGGTAAGTTCCTGACAGAGACAAAATTCAAACAAGGGCCTTCTGGTTTTTGTAGCTCAGTTCAGGGACATTTTCTCTACAATGGGCATCCTTTGTTCAATCGCTTCCACATCACCATTGTGAGGCATTCAATGCTACCATTTTTTTTTTCTTATTTCAGGAAATGGGTGCGCTCATTCAAGGATAACCCCTGATTTTGGAGACCTGTACCACGTCAAAGGTAAGCGTCACTCGGTATGGCTTTTCAGAGGCAGGTGGCACAAACACATGCATGCTCATGCAGTGGACTGGTTCTTTCTGCTTTTGACCAAAATGCCTGGTTTGGGCAACTTTGCTATATGTCTAGCCAATAATAATAAATAATAACAATAATAATAATTTTTTATTTATATCTCGCCCTCCCCAGCCGAAGCCGGGCTCAGTGCGGCTAACAACAATAAAATAATACAACATAATACAACATTCTAAAATCATTTCATTATAAAATTAATTCAAATCAAATTAATGGCAACCATTGGGCTAGAGTTCTGTGAAGATTGCCAAAGGAGAGAGTCAGGCTGTGCCCTAGCCAAGCTCCTAAGCTGCTTTCTGATGTCACTTTTCCCTTCAGTGGATGGCCGTTGTTCCTGTGCAGAAAACTAGTTTATGTAGGAACATAGGAAACCAAGTCAGACCAATGACTGCACTGACTGGCAGCAGCTCTCCAGAGCTTCAGAGAGGGGCCTCCCCAAGCCCTACCTGGAGTTGTCGGGGATTGAACCCAGGACCTTCTGTATGCACAAGCTATGACCTTTCCCCCAAAATGTGCTGGTAGAGACACTGAATCCATCTTGAACCACACTTGTGTCTCTTATGGCTGTGATTGTGCAGCGGGTGCAGGTGTCACTTCACGAGCAGTAGAAGTTGCATCTGGAATTGTGCAAAGTATCCTAAGTTTAGCTGGGAATTAGTGTATCCTTTATCATTGCCAGCCTCCATTTTGGAATACAGTGGTACCTCAGGTTAAGTACTTAATTTGTTCCAGAGGTCCGTACTTAACCTGAAACTGTTCTTAACCTGAAGCACCACTTTAGCTAATGGGGCCTCCTGCTGCTGCCACACTGCCAGAGCACGATTTCTGTTCTCCTCCTGAAGCAAAGTTCTTAACCTGAAGCACTATTTCTGGGTTAGCGGAGTCTGTAACCTGAAGCATATGTAACCTGAAGCGTATGTAACCTGAGGTACCACTGTATAGGGACCACACTGGAAAATAATATGTGGGGCTTCCTAAGAGTTCCGAGCTATGGGAAATCTCTAGGTTGGCAACAGCCTCTTCATAGACACCCTAGTTTTGGACATGTATCTGTGTTAAAATCGAAGGACCCACGAATTGCCCATCATTCTTTGCTTGCAAGAGCGGCAGTGCACAAAGCCGCCTGGTCCTGCTCAGGAAGCATGAAGTAACCAAGGTGGAGGAATCTGTTGTTGGGCTGCAGCTCCCGTCTGCCGCAGCCAGTGTGGCAAATGACCAGCTATGATGAAAGTTGTAGCCCAACAACATCTGGAGGGACCACAAGTTCCCCATTCCTGAAGTAAACAAACTAGTTCTTTATTGCTCATTAGGCAGTCAGAGACAGTTGGGAGGAGTAACTACTGTTAGAAATTGCAGCATTAGGTAAACTTTAGCAGAGGGGTCACTACTACCAGGTAAACCATGATGCTCCAGTTTTTTGGAATGCCTTATGCCCAATGCTGCCATCTCATGAATGTTTCTTTCATATTGCTACACATTGTAACCTGCTTGCATTAAGAGCTTCTAGTTAGCGCCCTTGCATATCCCAGTGAGTGTCCCGGAAATGCATGTTTGCACCATTGCTGACTCGGGGGGAAGCTAAACCTAGAGGGTAATCTGCATCTTCTCCTGAGCCAAATGATAAGGGTGGGGATTTCTGTGGAATCCAATCTTTCCTCTTTCCTCCTGCCTCAATTTAGCCCCTTCCTGTATAACCTGAACAAGTATGTGCAAAGCTTCCTGAGATACTCTGAGGCAAGCAGGTCTCCCATTATTAAGGTCTCCTTCCAGGAATATAATTTAGCTGGTGATGAAACCTGACAGGCAGCTCTAATGCAAAACTGTGATTAGATTCAGCAAAATTAAAAGGATTGTGCTTGAATGTGTTAGTCACTTCTCCTGGGAATCTGGTGAAATGGCTCTTCCTAACTGTTCCAGGGACACACATAAGAATGCTTATGCTTGGAGCTGACAGCCATGCTAGACACAACGTTTTTCACATATTAGTTGGGCAGTATGTAGCTGATTTTTGCTTAAAGTAGCTCAGTGGTAGACCATCTGCTTTGCATGCAGAAGATCCACAGCATTTCCAGGAAGGGCTAGGAATGCCCCCTCTCTGAAACCCTGGAGAACTGCTGCCAGAAAGTGGAAACTGCATTCCCCCAACCTTGTGCCCTTCAGAACGTTTTAGAGTCCTACTCTCATCAGCCCTAGCCAGCATGACTAGGGATGTCAGGGATGATGGGAGTTGTAGTCCAAAACATCTGGAGGACACCCAGTTGGAGGCTAGTTTAGAAAATAACAGATAGATCACCGCTTGTTCTACAAAGCAAAGAGAACCAGATAAGAAGTAATAATAATAATAATGATGATGATGATGATGATGATGAAGATGAAAATGGTAAATGTGGATTAAATGGAAGGGAAATACTGTATGGGACATCATGTTGAGAAGGATGGCACTATGTGCAAAACTTGCACGCATAAATGGCATCAAGTCCACAATGAAAACCAAGGAAGAGGTATTGTTCTGCCTTAGGCAGAGATGTATCCGACATCTGAATGTGTCACTAGTTCATTAAGCACACTTTTGTTGTTAAGTTTCCTGCTTCCAGTGGGTGTCATTTATTGCCTTGTTTTTAAATCTATATTTTAATTTGTTCTAGAAACACTTCATTGGCTGCTGTTTAACAACCATTAAAATATTTGAGCAGTGACACTGAAAAGGCCACAGTGCCTTTCTGATTGCCAAATTGGCGGCAGCTGTATGTAATTCTACCTGCCGGCCGATGCACAGATTTGCCACCAAATGCTTCCCAAGATCTTTTTCCTTTTGCAAGCTGTGGAAGTCATTGTACAATTGTGCTTTTCATGAAAAAAAATGCATGGCTTAGGTGAATTGTACCTTCCCCATCCATGCCACACCCAGTAATGTTTTGGAATGCAGCTCCCCACAGTCCATGATGGAAATTATAGTCCGAAACACCCGGAGGGCACCAGGTTGACAAAGGCTGGCATAGATGGGGCATAGGATGTACGGTACACACACAAAAAGAACAACTCTGTGACCCTCCTGTGGAAGTGTGGAAACTCGGCTACAATTCTTCTTGGCAGTTTCAGGCAGAAGTACAATGACTGGGTTGTGCCAAGGTGTGTCCTTATTTCGCCCAATATGATTCTTTTGATAGGAATAGTAGGCAAGCTGCCATTCCCGCCCCCTCCTGCAGTCCTTTTGGAAACATCTAATGTCGTGTTCTTCAGTTTTGGGTCCCTACCCACGTGTGGTTAGACTACGATTCCCATCATCCTTGACCATCGGCTAAGCTGGATGAAGGGAGTTGTAGTCAAACCACATCAGGGGACCCAAGACTGAAGAGCACAGATCTAATGCCCTTTGGTCTTGTTCATGCTAGCCAAGGTTTCCCAAACTCCAGCTAGCAGGACCAGTGGTCAGGGATGATGGGAATTGTAGTCCAAAAACAGCTGGAGACCCAAGTTTGGGAAACCCTGTGCTAGCCAAAGAATGATTATAGGATAAAGTTTTTCAGTGGGTTAAGTGGATATTTTAACCTGGGTCTAGTAATAGGGGAACTGAAGTAAAGTGTAGCAACTGCATCAGATTAATCCAGACTTTCCCAACCTGATGCCCTCCAGATGTTTGGGATCTCCCATCAGCCTCGGCATCTGGGGTTGTGGAAAGTCAAGATTAATTTATCCAGAGTGTGAGTATGATGGAGGGATGGGAAACCTGTGGCCCTCCAGATGTTGTTGGACTCTGACCCCCATCAGCCCCAGCCAGCACAGACAGTGGTCCAGGGATCATGGGAGTTGTAGTCAACCAACAGAGAACCACAGGCTTCTCACTGTGTCCTTTCTTAAGCCTGTCTCCAGGCAGATCAATCCCACCCATGTTGCTGGAGAAGGAGCTGTTTCATCACGACAAATGTTGTGCTGTGCAAAAAGAGGAACTGCAAAATAATATTCCCCAAGAACATCATCACACTGTAAAAAAAAAAAAGTCTTTGTATATCTCAGCAACATTTCCTGCATGCCAGACACAAAGGTGTGGAAGGTTGTTGTCTTCAAGCCCCGCTTGCAAGTTTGGCAGCATCTATCTGGTTGTCTGCTGCTGGAAACAATACTGGACCTTAGTCCGGGGCCAAAATATTCATTGTCTTTTAAATGCATTTGCCCCCCTGAAATGTCTCCCATCAACTTCTAGTTAAAGCTGGCATGCAGGGGGTTGGTGCTGCACTTGGGGCCTCCCCACCTTGGCTCCACATTGTAGGTGACCAAGTGCAAGGAAATACTGAGCCCAACGAAACTGGCATCTCACCTGTCTGCTTGAATAAAAGGTCACTAGGAAACGTGGGGAAGAGATGCAGGTGTGATTTAAAGCTATGCACAGTCTGGCTCGAATCCACAAAGACAAATCTTTACCTTCTTGTGAATTTCAACTTGGCAAACAAGTTGTTTGTTGCCGTGACTTGCAGAAACTGCTGTTAAGCAAAACTTTGCATTGATTTCTCAACTTCCATTTGAATTTGCAGCTCGGAAGAACAATAGAGTTTAAACCTTTCGAAATGCCTTTTAAAATCTCATCCCTGACAAAGCCCCTGGGCAAATGTTTGCTCAACCTGGTGCCCTCTGGATGTTTTGGACTACAGTTCCCATCAGCCCCAGCGAGCACTGCTGGGTTACTCTCTCTCTCTCTCTCTCTCTCTCTCTCTCTCACACACACACACACACACACACCCATCCTCTGCTCCTTTCCAGAGCATAATTCCTTCTTCACCTGTTCATTTTATTTCCATATTTAATTTAGCAAAATTTATATAGTGCTGAGTTGACAAAAACGTCTAATATAAAATAATAATATAAAATATCTGTAAATTATTTATTGAAAAATACCAAACATTTAAAAAATCAACATGCAGTTAAAATATAAATAAAATAAGCAGTGCTAAAACAAATAGACATAATAAAACTACACATGAACATTTCACGTCTGGGTTAGCTTGCCCAACAAAGTTTTTTGCAGGGGCTGAAAACACAAGATCAAAGTCTCCTGCCTAAAATAAATGGGCAGGGAATTCCAAGCTGTAGGTCAGGCATAGGCAAACTCGGCCCTCCAGATGTTCTGGGACTACAACTCCCATTATCCCTAGCTTACAGGACCAGTGGTCAGGGATGATGGGAATTGTAGTCTCAAAACATCTGGAGGGCCAAGTTTGCCTATGCCTGCTGTAGGTGCTGCCACACTGAGGGATCGCTTTCTTTCAAGTGTGAAATAAACATTACTGTATATTGCACTTGTAAAAGTTTCAGTTCTGCAGACTGAATCATTTAAGTAGGTTAAGGCAGCCAAGTAAAATGGTCCTAAGTTCTTGAGGGCTTTCTATACTAATAACACAAACTCCTTGCATTTGACCTGGTAGCAAATCAGCAGCCTCTGAGTAGGGGTGTGGCCAGGATTTTTGTGGGGGGGGGCAGCATTCCCCACTGTGTCAGTGCCATAATTATTTCAGCCAGCAAAGAAAAAGCACTTAAGGGTGTAAAGTGGGGGGCAGTGAGAGGTGAGGCCTGGGAAGAGAGTTCTGAGGGCTCATGGAGAGGGCTGGGGGCCGCGTTAAGGATTTTTGCCATCCCTAAGGTTGTCAGAGTGATTCAGCTAGGCAGGCCTTGTCTATTTCAGCCCACAAGAATGACAAATTAAATTCATTCCACAAGCATTAAGATTTCAGGCACTCTGAGCAAACTTTCCAATGAAATGAGAGTCACTCTGCTTTCACAATGAGAGAGAATTGGAACCAGTACATTCATGGTGATGTTTGGCACTTTACAGTATCCCCCCTCCCCCTTAACAACTTCAGTCTTCCATTCAGGTGTGTCCTCCATTTAACAACATGGGCAAAACTAGATAAGAGTCAGACAGTTTTCCACAGTGGAATTTCCCCCCCTGTGCCCCATTTTCCTGTGGGAAATTAGCCACTTCACACACATACATTAATGGTTGTATCCAGCTTTAAGTTTCACTGAGCAGTTCCCTGAAGTAGACCTAATGTAGTCAACAGGCCTAACTTATTCATGTTCATTAATTTCAATGGGTCTACTTTGCATATCTTTAGCATTGCGTACAACCCAATGAGCGAATAACAGTTGCAAATACAATATTATGAGGCAAGCTAGGAAGTTTTCAAAGGTTCCCTGTGTGTTTTGGAGCCGTTGAAAATCAGGGGAGCTTTGGCAAATACAGGGGGGAAATCCCAAGCTACACAGAACATTGATCTGGTTGCCCACTAAAAATCCATCTCAGTCACAGCAACAACTATGGAGACATTGAAGAATACCCTGTGGATGTGAGCATAATCATGTGAGGTTACTTAATATGCAGGCAACCAAAAAGTCCTTCCTCTGAGTCCCTCACCTGGAAACTCTCGTTGTGTTCTGTAGGAATCATCAACCTCCCTTATGCCGAAATCGAAGAGCCCTTCGAAGCCTGGTACAACCTTACTGGGAACAAGAGTCGCATCGAGTACTACGATGGTAAGAAGCCGTAGAGAGGGCAGTGGGGTGGGAAGGGGATGCCAGATGCTCTTGGGGCTGGTATGGGAGAACTCATGCTCCAAAATAATATGATGGAAATGGAGAAGAGGAGCTGCAGATGTCACCTTGAGCACCTTTCAGGAAAGGTAGGGTGCAAATGCAATAATACAAGGCAGAAGTGGGTTTCTGCAGTGGAGGAGAAAGTTGCCGGCAGGTATCCCAGACCAAACTAGATGAGATGATGGAGTAGGGACAGCATGGCTGGGTGTCAGCCAAGGGGCCTCCACCCACCAAGGAGTGCACTGGACCTGCTCATCCTCCTCACCAAGGCAACCATCTCAGCTGCTACTGCCTGCTGGCTCATTGGCCCTCTGCCTGGCTAGCAAGCAACTGGTAGCAGTCATAAGGAGGAAGGGCAGCAGCAGCCCGGAATTGTGGCAGGGAGGAAGAAGTAGACTCAAGGAAGGCGGGAGGCCATAAGTGTCCAAGGACCCTGCAAAACCTGGAGCTGATGCTTCGATGGAGGCCCCCCTTCTAGCTCTTTAACAACAGTTGCAATAAGCATAGGAAACTCCCTTACACCAAGTCAGACCATTGGTCCATTTAGCTCAGTGATGTCTACACCAGGGATGGGAAATTCCAGCCTGTAGGCCAGTCTTGCCCCAAAGACGTTTTCCCCAAACCGCAACCCACCTGCCCTTCATCATTGTCGCTGGTGTTGTATGCTGACGAGTGAGAGAACAGGGTTCAATCCTGCACTGGCCGCACAGTCCTGCTCCCAACAACAAACAGGGCCACACAGCATAGGCAGCAGGATTTGATCACAGGATTTTAGTGTCGGAAGTGATACCAAAGGCCACCTAGCCCAGCCCCCCGCGATGCAAGAATCACGGCTGAAGAATCGTTGGCAGCTAATGTGCAGATATTAAAGATCGGAGGAAGATCTGCATGAGATGCAGGATTTATAGTGGAGGGGGGAGATTCTCAAAAGGGTTTTTGCAAGTCTCCTCCCTGTTCCTTTTGAAGTCCCTCCCCACTTCCCTTCTAAGTCCCCCATCTTAGAGCAGGGTGGGGAGGCTCACAAAGTCTCCGTCCCTGTTTTAAGGGATACCTTTTGAATTTAAGCAGCGGCCTCCAGTGTTGTTAAACTGGAAATGATTTTCCCACCCCCTAGTGACTGTGATTATGCTGAGGCTGCAAGCCTTAAATTAATTAAATAGCTGGAATGCTCACCTCAACATTTAGTTGTTAATGGGGGGGCAGATTTAAAAGGTGTGGCTGCAACCGAAGAACAGTCTTTGCTTGCTTGCTTGCTGTTGAATTAAATTTACTTGCTGTTATTAAAGAGAGTCGTTCATTTGAGTGGTCATGTTTATTTAAAGTGTAAGCTCTCCTGCTTCCTTCAGGACCTCAGAGCTCTTATTTGCTTCTTGGCATTCTGCAAATGCATTCACATTTGCTTTAATTTACATTTCTGAATTTATTTACATTTGATTTGATTGAAAACTAAGCTAAAAAAAATAAAATTGCATGCAGTCAGTGGGCAGCTGTAGCCTGTACAACTCGTACTGAATTGTGAGCACAGGATATTCACGTGATCTTCCTCATTCAGATTGGCCCACGTCACATGCCTGCTCTTCCAAATATTTTGACTCATTCCTAAAACATTCCTGATCTCCTTATTGGCTCTTTCAAGAACCTTCAAGGAGATCTGCAACAATAAAAAGCAACGCAGGCTGTGTATACACCATACATTTAAAGCATCTCTCCCCTGCGCCCCCCCAAAAAAAATCCTGGGAGCTGTAGTTTGCTAAGGGTGCTGGGAATCATAGCTTTGTGAAGGGTAAACTGCAGTTCCCAGGATTCTTTCAGGACAGTCTGCTTTAAAAGGTGTGTGTGTGTGTGTGTGTGTGTGTGTGTGTGTGTGTGTGGAGCAACAATAAAAGAGATTTCGAAACCACAGTAGAAAGACAGGGTTAAAATGCATGTGAGATGCTGGCACTGTTGGACACCCCCACCCCTTTAGTGCCTTCCAACCCCTCCCTGCCCCTCTCAACTTTCTGGCTTGTGTACTTTGGTGAGTGGGGTGGGGTTGCTTACTAAATCTCTGTTTATTAGCACATGTCTACAGGGGCCATCTGCCTGCACAAGGATGAGCTCTTACTGCCTACTTGTATTTCCTCTCCTTTATGGCTGTTGCCGGTTTCTCACCTTGCTTCTGCTGCAGGCCAAGTGGTGACCTTGCAGCTTGGGAGCACAAAGCCCTATGGCACCATGTTTAAGCTCACCCCGCAAACCACAGAGGACGTCGTGAATGCCGAGAAGTGCTTCCAGCTGAACGGCACCAAAGATGGACCTGTGAAACCGCAAGGCGTCTTTCCCAGCTTTAAAGGCTTCAAGGTGAGCAAGTGGAACTCAGCAGTCAAATGTTTAGGGTTGAACCAAAGAGCGGGTGGCCTTATAATATATCCTCCCCTTGTGGTCTACCCTGCTTGGTATTGTCTGCACTAAAGCACTGAGCCTCTTGGGCTTGCCGATCGGAAGGTCAGCAGTTCGAATCCGTGCAATGGTATGAGCTCCTGTTGCTCAGTCCCAGCTCCTGCCAACTAGCAGTTCAAAAGCACACCAGTGCAAGTAGATAAATAGGTACCACTGCGGAGGGAAGGTAGACGGCATTTCTGTGTGCTCTGGCACTCGTCACAGTATCCCGTTGCACCAGAAGCAGTTTTGTCATGTTGGCCACATGACTTGGAAAGCTGTCTGTGGACAAACGCCGGCTCCCTTGACCTGAAACGAGATGAGCGCCACACCCCATAGTCGTCTTTGACTGGACTCAACTGTCCAGGGGTCCTTTACCTTTGTCTGCACTGATTGGCAGTGGCTCTCCAGGAGTCCAACCTCAGAGATGCTGAGGATTGAACCTGGGTCCTTTGGCAGGCAAAGGGGTCTGAGCTAAGACCCTTCCCCACTTGGATCTGGGACACCTGCTATGGACTCATTCTGTCACCTTTGCCTGCTGGCCGCTTAGCCTTAGTTGCCTGTCAATAAACGTGACTTACCTTTCAGGGTGCTCATTGGTAATAACATTAATAATAATAATTTTATTTATATCCCACCCATCTGGCTGGGTTTCCCCAGCCGCTCTGTGCGGCTTACAGCATATATAAAAACACAACAAGACATCAAACATATCCTATACAGGCAACAAACAAACCAATAAATCAATAGAAACCAATAATAACAGTTTATAGTTACACCCAAATTAAAATCACCACCAGCCCCAACTAAACATTTAACCAGACGAAAACAAAACAGAGGAAGCAAAATTAGAACTGTTTAAAACATTGTAAAACTAGGGCTGCCATATTCTTTTTGGTGAAAGTTGTTGAGCTTTTTAGGAGTCTTTTAGCTGTTTTCAGGGTGAGTGTGAGCCCCGCCCCCTAGGCCAGGTGGACATGGGCCTTGCAGCAGGAAGCGCTCTCCTTTCCAGCACACATTGGAAGGTGCAACATACGTGGAGATCATAGGGCTGGTTGCAAGCAGCTGAGACTTGCAGCTGGGGAAAGGGCATCGGCTCTGGGATTTGTAGTCCAAAGTGTTAAGGAGGGTGCTAGACTAGAAGAGGCTGTGATAGAGCTCTGCCACGGAGCTATGGTCCTTTCCTCAAAGTCTCTTCCAAGCCCAGCCTCCCGTGGCTTAGGAATTAGATTCATAGGAAGCTGCCTTTTTAGACCCAAGGTTAATCCAGGTCAGTATTGCCTACACCAACTGGCCACAGCTCTCCAGGGTTCTAGGAAGGGGACCTTCCCAGGCCTGCCTGGGATTCAAACTTAGTAGTTTCTGCTATGTACTCTGCCTTATATCAGCATTAGACTCCTTGTCCTTTGGCCCATGCAAAAATTTGCCACTTGATTCCTTATTAAGTGGAGATGCCAGGGATTGAACCCAGGACCTTCTGCATGCAAGGCAGGTGCTCTGCCACTGAGCTATAGCTCCTCCCCAGTTCACCAGCCTCTTGTAGCCTACCTGTCTACATCTGCTTCAGAGGCTGCTGTGCTTGCAGGGAGACTTGCCAGCTTCAGATGTTACTTGACATTTCAGCCCCTTCCCTTTCTGACAGGGCTCAAGAGAGCTGCTCCTGTCGAAAGAGGGTGGCAGGTCCTCAGGCAGCTTGGCTCAGTGATTCAGCCACTTGCCATAAGCTGCTCTGGCATGTGCCAAGCTTCCAGGACGAATGCAAAATAGGCTTCGCCCAGATGCAGTTCCTTGATAATCGTGAAAAGTTGTTCCACGGTGGCTGTTAAAAGTGGCACACGTTGCAGGGAAGATGTGTTTGATGACAAGCTGTAACTTGACTTTTGCCAAGCTGCTGCTCTGAATAGTGTAGTCAGTGTGTGTGTCCGTGTGTGTGTGTGTGTGTGTGTGTGTGTGTGTTCATGTGTGACTTTGCTTTAGTTGGAAGACTTAACAAACAGGGAGGGAGATGGGGAGCTCCAGGCCAGGCATAGGCGAACTCGGCCCTCCAGATGTTTTGGGACTACAACTCCCATCATCCCTAGCCAACAGGACCAGTAGTCAGGGATGATGGGAGTTGTAGTCCCAAAACATCTGGAGGGCCGAGTTTGCCTATGCCTGCTCTACACCAAGAGGAGTCCATGTGATGCCCTCCTGCTGTTGCCTGGCTACTGCTCCCATCTGGCCCCAAGCCACTCTGGGGGCCTTTTTTGGCTGAAAAGGGGGGTAAAAATGCTTCAAGCAAGCAAGCAAGCATCATCCAATAGATGGAGCTTGCAAGTGAACTCCAGTATTACACAGTGGACGCTGGCAACCTGTCCAGCTTAATTGGTAGACTATTTATTTGGAGGCTACGGGAAACTAGAGCAGGGGGAACCAAACTAGCTTTTGGGACTATAACTCCCATCATCCCAGGCCAGAGCTGGTGGGCCTGATGAGAATTGTAGTCCAACAATATATGGAGGGCACCATATTGGCCACCTTTGGAGGAGACATAAGAGAGCTAGATAGACCAGAATGATGACCTCGGGTTGCATCCAGCTATGTTCTGCTCCGAGCGGACGTACTAAAAAGAATAATCCCCATTAAAGTCAATGGGTTGTTTGCCGAGCGTGTCCCACTCAGAGTAGACCCATTGGAATTGATGGATAGGGCTAACTTAAGTTTATGAATTGGTAGGATTACAGCCCTTTTCATGCCTGCCCTTTCCATTGCCCCCCCCCCAGCCCATAAGGGAAGAATACTACAAAGGCAAATACTGCACCGTGTGGCAGAACATCTCTTACGGGGGCAAGAAGAAGAATATCTACACCATGTGGGTCACCAACAGCAGCTGCGGTGTGTCGCCTGTGCACTACGAGATGAAGGGCTTCAACACTTTGCTGGGGTCCCACTACGACAAGTATGAAATAGATTACACCGACTTCTCCAACAGCTTCCCAGCTTCCGTCTTTGACCTGAAGCCAAACGGTGAGTACGAGATTATCCTTCCGCACCCTTCCTCCAAGTAGTTTAGGGTGATCTCGATCACAGCGGCAAAACAACTTATCTGGGTTGATCTTGCTCAACAACTTTGTAAGGCGGGCCAGTCCACGTGTGGCCTCGAGCTGGTCCGCATCTTCACAATGGATCTTCTGCCTGAGTTTGACATGTTAGTCTCCACTGCAGGGGTGAGGAATCCCGGGGCTCTTTGCCTGTTGTTGGACTCCATCTCCCATCAGCCCCAGCCAGCATGGCCCAATTGTCAGGGAAGGTGGGAGTTGTTATCAAATGGCACATGGAGAGCTGCAGGTTCCCTGTTCATTTCTGCTTTGCAGCTTCTCTCTTGTGTTTTCTGTGGCTTGGTTGGCATTCCACAAAGTGCACCCCTCACAGAGCTGCTGTTCCAAGCACTCTTAGCAAACTATAGCTCCCGGGATTCTTTGGAGGAAGTCATGTGCTTTAAACATGTTCTAAATGTGTTCTTTAATTGTACGGTGCGGGTGTGATCTAACTGGTTGGAGCACTTTGTGGAATGCCAGCCAAGCCACAACAAACACAAGGGCAACAAAGTATGAAATAGCTCTGTAGCACAAGATCTGGCAGAAAGTTGTGGTGTGTGTGTGTGTGTGTATCTAGTCCTTAAGACAAGATTTTCTGTCCCAAATCCTCCCTAGCATGCACCCACCCTATTCTTTCCTGAAAAGCGTAAACTACTGTGATTTCTTCACCTTCATGTTGAGCTTATTTATTTGCTGAACCTTCCTGGTTCAGTTGGAATATTCTGAGCTGGTTTTGCAGAACACATTAAAAACATAGTTTTAAACCCCCGTCCTGCCACCTCTCCTGCTAATGAGACAAGCCATAATCTGGCTTGTTGCATCATTTGAATTTGGGGTGGTTTGTTTCTCTCCAGACAAACCACGAGTGGGAGCCAAGGTGTGTTTGTGGCTTACCACATGTGGTTTCTTTGGGGGGAAACAAACCATGCACCTGGGTTTGTATAACACAACAAGCCAGATTCTGGCTCAATCGGGTTGCTGTGCGGGAGGAGCGTCGTGGGAACTTTTACTGTGCAGCAGCTCACTGCTCATTCACAGGAAGCCGTAGTTCATCTTAAACTATGGTTGGTGCTGCAGGAGCCAATGTTGTGTGTTCGGGATGCTGTTTGACTACAACTTGCACTGACCGCTGGCCATGCTGGGGGGGGGGGACACTGATGGGACTGGGAATCCAGCGACAATTAGAAGTCACCACATTGGCTACCCTTGTTTTTAATGTGAGAGTGGGCCAGTGAAGGGTTTGGCCTGGGGGCATGGCCTGGGCAGAGTCCCAAGGAACAATCAGGAAGGCCCAGGGAGCTGCAATCAGTCCCTAGGCTTGATGTTCCTCAGCTGGACCTCTGTCTCCATGTGTCAGCTAAATCAGCCTCCCCATAGTCAGAACTTCTACCACTGAACTCTGCCCCTTCCCTAAAGTCTCTCTCTTCATCTTCATTTGCTGCACATTGAGAGGATATCGTCCTAGTTGTGGCTGGTGCCCATTGGAGACTGGTAGGGCAGAAGACAGGGAGCCCAACAGTAGGTGGCGCCATAGCCGGTGGCAGGCAGAGGCAACTGTATAGTGAAGAAGCCAGGCACAGCTCTGTGGGGAGAGAATTCCACAGTTTAGGGGCCACCACAGAGAATACCCTCTTCTGGGCCATACACACTGAATTTTTGAGAGGGGTGGAACTACAAGAGCATCCTCTGCTGATCTTAACAACCAGGGGGGGTCTGTATGGAAGGAGACAGTGTTTCATATATTACATGCGTAGTAATACTCTTACTATTCCTGGTGTACAGTGCTGCGCTTCGATCTAGGGAATGGACACTGTTACAGGTGCATACCTGTTCTCCATTTATAAGAAAATCTTTTAGCCTGGCAATCACCTGCACTTTGGAACTCCCTGCCTATTGACACCAGGCAGACGTCTTCACTGTACTCTTTTCGGCACCAGCTTAAAAACATTTTTGTTTGGGCAAGCTTACCCAAACTTGTAGAATGATGATATGTTTTTAGTTTATTGCTTATTTAATTTTTTGAATGTTCTAAATAGTTGTTTTTAACTCTCTATAATTTTATCATTGTATTCACTTTGTGTATTCTGCTTTGAGGATTTTGTTTATTTATTTATTTACAATCAAGCAGTGTATATTTATTAGGAAATAAATAAATAAATCTTCCGGGTTCATTTTCTCCCTAGAAACAAAACTATGCGATGAACTGCCCGGCGACTCCTCAGAGCACCACATCATGGCAAACCCCATGGCAGATTTTGTGGGGGGAGAAGAGGACCGAGCCCACCAAGTGTTCCACCAATACAGAAAACGGTTTGGAAAGACCTACGACAATGAACGGGAGATGGAACACAGGAAGCACACCTTCACCCACAACATGAGGTCATTGGTTGTATTTGAATTATTTTTTTTTCATCCTATCCTTCAGCCAAAAAAAGGGCTCTGGGAGCCACAATAAGATAGTCCCTGACCTCAGGTTTACAATCGAAAAGGCACGGCAGAAAAGGGAAAAGGAACTGGGAAGGAAAAGCAACCTTAGGAGGTAGTTGCATTATTTTGATAATGACTACCTAGGACTGAAAGATTTGAAGAGGAGGAGCTAGATATTGGTGGCTTTTCAAGCAGAGCTAATGGAGAAGGCTGTCAGTCCCATCTCACCTTTACTGATGGAGTATTTTATAAAAAGGAGTAATTATGAGATAGGTGGTGGCTGTGCTGTCAGAGTCAAAGCACGGGATCTGAAATCTTGCACAATATATTTAGATCTGGCTCTGATTCCTGGAGGTGAGAGGAAGGAACATAGGGAGATGCTCTGTACCGAGTCACACCAGTGCTCCATCTAGCTCATTGCTGTCAATACTGACTGGCAGCAGTGTTTGCTGTCTTGCCAGTTGAAGACCAGTGGGTTAGAGAGCCCATAGGAACACTGGGAAACTCCCTTGAGCTGAGTCAGACCATTGGTCCATCTAGCTGAGTATTGTCAGCACTGACTGGCAGCAGATCTCTGGGGTTTCAGGCAGAGGACATTTTCACCCTTACCTGAAGACACCGGCAATTGGACCTGGGACCTTCTGTACACAAAGCAGATTTTCTACCAATGAGCGACAGCCGTTCCTCAAGGGAAGTGTGTACTCTTGCATATGCATGAGGCACACTTGGCTTTTTGATGATAATACTGAGGTGATTGTAGCTACACTTGTCTGGTGCTACCTTGTTTTTAAATCTGTTCAATATAATAAAATTCATTTTAAATCCCAGTATCCCAGCCTGTGTTGAACCCTGCCATTTAACACAGGTTTTGGGGGCTTAAGCTTTGCTGAAATCAAGACCCAGATCATTTGGGGCTTGCCCCTCTGCTTAGTTGTGTCCCTGAATTTTGACCTAGGCTTCGGCACTGTGCTCTGAAGCAGCTTTTGTTTAATACATTTATATACTTCCCTTCGGTGCCAGTTTATCAGGACAATTTACAACCGGGGACAAAGCACATCATTGTAACAGAAACGTACTGAAACTGTGTTGATGAAAACAGCAGAATAAAAAGCAGCATAAACCAAGTATCAAAACACCACACTAAAAAAAATCTCATCCGGTGTCAAAAGCCTGGAAAATTGTAAAAGACTTGATATGTGCCCTGGACGTTGAAAACACTGCTATGCCACTTTAAAGAGTCATGAGCTTCCCCCAAAGAATCCTCGGAAGGGTGATATGTTGCTGAGATTTATTAGGAGACCCCTGTTCCCCTCGTGGGGCTGCAATTCCCAGAATTCCCTGGGAAGAGGGACTGACTGTTAAACCACTCTGAGAACTATAGCTCTGTTAGGGTAATTTGGCCATAGCAAATTTCTACTGTGGCTTTATCCCTGTACTTCCAAGAACCATGTGTTAGTGTTCAAGGAACATTTAACCCCAAGAGGGTTAGGGGAGGGTGACAACAAGCCTGAGCCGCCCCCTGCCCAGCCCAGCCCTTTCTCCTCCAGCTTTCCCATTGTTTCTGCCCCCTCCCCAGGTTTGTCCATTCCAAGAACCGAGCCAACCTCTCCTACAAGCTGGCGCTGAACCACTTGGCGGACCTTACCCAGGACGAGATAGCTGTGATGAGAGGCAAGCTCAAGACCACAGCGCCAAACAACGGGCTGCCTTTCCCTGAGGAGATGTACGTGGGCCTAATCCTGCCAGAGAGCTTGGACTGGCGGCTTTATGGTGAGTGGTGTTGGAAGGCAAGGAACAAATAAGAAGGGGATTATACTGAGTCGTGCCATTGGTCCATCAAGTTCAATACTGTCCACACTGACTGGCAGCAGCTTTTTAGGATTTCAGGCTGGCCTCTCTCCCAGCCCTACCTGGAGATGCTGGGGACTGAACCTGGGACCATCTGCATGCAAGGCGGATGCTATATCTCTGAGCTATAGGCGCCAATTGTTACAAGCAATTGTGGTCCTAAGCCTTGGGAAATGCAGAGGAGAGCAATAGAATCTCCTGATGTTTTTCATTTTTGCCTGAAAAGCAGCTGTGGAGACTCTGAAACTTGACTGGAGCAGTGGTACTTGGAGAAGAGGGCATTAGTCCCCTCCCAGCCAAATGCAGATATTCCAATATACAATTCCTCTGTTTGCCCTAAGGGCTCATCCACACTTTTTGCTTTCTCCCAGGAAAACCTGCTCTGTAATGCTGAATTGGAGCAAACCTCAATAGGGTTTTCTTTGGATTGATGTTTGCTTCAATTTAGCAATAAAGAGTGGGTTTTCCTGGGAGACAGCGCAAAGGCAGAACCATTCCAACTCATGCCTAGAATGAATGGACAAGTGGGAAACCTCTTTGATCTGTACTTTCTAGGCATGGGGGCAAGCAGATGTTTCCCCAGCACTGCTGCTCCACTCAAATGTGGCCCCTCCCTGTCCCCCAGTTTGTTTCAATTAAAAATGAAAACAGAATTAACTTTCAAATGGCGCGTCCTTGAAGTCACACACCTCTGCTGCTGCACATCCAAAAGGAGTGATGTTGCAGTAGCTTGATGGCAACGGAAATAGTTGTGCAGGTGGGTCTCAACTCTTTTCTGCTTGTTCCTTCCAGGTGCAGTGACTCCAGTTAAGGACCAGGCTGTGTGTGGCTCCTGCTGGAGTTTCTCCAGCACTGGAGCCCTCGAAGGGGCTCTCTTCCTCAAGGTAAGAGCTCACCTGTCTCTTACCAGGGAATTTCCTTTCAACTAATTTGGAGGGTGTTGGGGAACTCAGCGGATGGAAGCTACACAGATCCAAGCTGTTCACATTCCTGAGAAAAGTATTTATTCTATTATTTTCCCCAGACACTCTGGGTGGCTAAAAACTTCCCGATACAGGGCTGCCTTCAGATGTCTCCTAAAAGTTGTGTAGTTCTTCATCTCCTTGACATCTGAAGGGAGGGCGTTCCACAGGGAGGGCTACCCAGCAGGTGTGTCATTTCTGCTTACAAGGAGACATGATGGGGAGGTTGGTGCGGTGCACAGGTATGCTGATTGAAATAATGCAGTGATTCTGCTGCTGCACTTACACTGCGCTGAGCTCTCCACCACCTCCCTCCTGGTAAGCAGTGGCAACGTCTATTTTAATATTTCATTTAGTACATTTAATTTCCCACTTCTATTCAGTAGGGGGAGCACAGAGCAGGGATACAAAAAGGCATCATTTTCCATTCCACATTGTAGTTACTGCATGCAGTTCTGCTTCCATTCCGCCACAGTTCATCTTTCACCACAACTTCACCTCACCGTCCACTGTGGCAAAATTGCAAAGTTGGCTATATAAATCACACTGTCATTTCATTCTTCCACTCTGTTTATTTCAATGCTAAGGAAACACAATGCAAGGGGTTTTTTTTGGCGGGGGGAGGGGGAAGCTTAATTGATGCATAATCATTTGTGGACTGCAAGCACCAACAGTGAATGCCAATCATTTTTTCTGGATTGACTTTCATTCTGAACATGGGTCAAATTCCTTTGGAATTTTCCAACACCCCAGGTTAGTGGTTTTCAATCCAGATACAGGCCAGTGACAAAGCTGCTCAGCTTCAGCAAAGAAATTTCCCTATTTTCCACATTATGAACGTAACTTTGCTTCAGCAGTAAAATATGCTTATTTTCTAAAGGGAACATTCCATGTGTGGTATCCTGACATTTACGGTTTAGTACTGTGTGGCTAAGCAGGTACAGCGGTACCTCAGTTTTTGAACGTGTCCATTGACGAACATTTCAGAACTCAAACGCCGTTAACCCGGAAGTAAACACTTCAGTTTTCAAACATGCCTCGGAAGTCGAACGGCTTCTGCTGATTGTATTCTCAATTTTCTCTATTAAATTTGCAGACTGCCCTTTGTGCCTCAGTTTTCAAACGTTTCGGAATTCGAATGGTCTTCCAGAACAGATTACGTTCGAAAACCCAAGGTACCACTGTAACAGTTTCCTATCAGCAAGACTGACGTTTTGCTTCTCTCCTGTTTCCCCAGACTGGGCAGCTCATCCCTCTGTCTCAGCAAATCCTCATTGACTGCTCCTGGGGCTTTGGGAACTATGCCTGTGACGGTGGCGAGGAGTTTCAGGCGTTCGAGTGGGTCATGAAGCACGGCGGCATTGCCAGCACAGAGTCCTACGGCCCATACAAAGGCCAGGTGAGAGAAGTCAAACCAGAATTAGTTTACTAATAAGCCATTTATTACACAACAGCTCCCAGGAATCTTTGGTGGAAGCTGTGACAGTTTCAAGTGGCATCATAGTGCTTTGAATGTAAATATCAAAGAATCTTGAGAAGGAAAGTCTGTCCAATCTACAGGGTGAGATTATGCCCAGTGACTCCATCCTTGGCTGCACGTTCATGTGAAAGAGGGGTGGGCATCTATGCTGATGCTGTGTATTGGAGAGCATGTGTCTGGCAGGCACACTGGCGTCTGAAGACTTTGCCAGGAGGTGGAAACTCCAGCACTCCACACAAATGTGTTTCTTGAGCACGATAGCATTTGTATGTGCAGCATCACTATGTACATCATATGTATGCCAGTCTTGACTGTGCATAGGGTGGCAGGCAATGAGGTAAGGCGGAGATATGTATGGGCATAGAAGGTTGTGGTTTGCACAGTGTGCTGTAAACTGGTTGCCCATCAGCAGTGTGGACAAGGCCAGGTGACCCTGTCCTCAGCCCTCCAGCTAAACTGATCTAGCCCAGACTAGAGGGGCAGATCAGTGAAGATGCCAGACTGCACATGGAGGAAGAAATGTCTTCAGAGAGCTTTTAGGAACTCCTGGACAACAATGGTGGTTAATGAAATGATGAGTGAAATCTTGGGGTTTTCTTTTTGGGTTTCATCCCCACCTGGGTGACTCTTCTCTCTTTCAGAATGGCTACTGCCATAGCAACGACACTCAGCTTGTGGGCAAACTCAAAGGCTACGTCAATGTCACCTCCGGGAACCGTACTGCTCTGAAAGCTGCCATCTACAAGCATGGCCCCGTGTCTGTCAGCATCGACGCCTCCCACCGAAGCTTTTCCTTCTATTCCAATGGTGTCTACTACGAGCCCAAGTGTGGTGAGTCCCAGCCTATGAGATTGTGACAGAAAACTGTAAATTAGGGCAGGGAATCTCTTCTAGCCAGCGTGCCACATTTTCTCTTGCTTGTGGGTAATCTTCCAGGGGCCATTGGCTAGGGGTGAACAAAGCCAGAGGCAAAACAGGGTAGAGCAGTGGGTGTGAATCCTACCCTTATGCAGTAGGCTATATTCCCACCTGAACTACATCTCTCCATCCTGGCAAACGAGTCCTTGTCAAAGTTACACCCTCAAGGAGGAAGTGGAGCAGAGCTGGTGAGGAGTGTGGCTTGGTATGGGGTAGGCCATGGCCTAGGGGGAGCCCCCAAGCCAAATAGAGAGGCCCAGAGGGCTGCATTTGTGTCCTGGGCTCAAGGATCCCCACCACCTGCTGTAAATAAAGTTGCACTTCCTGCGATGCATCTCAAGAGCACTTGGCATAACCTGAACATCATCCCACATGGCTGTTTGTGATACGGTAAACTCCTCCATGCTTTGTTATGGTGAAATTGGAAGCTAATGCCTCCCCAGGTTATGGTCTGAAGGCATGTGAGGCTACTGAAACAAATGTCCCAGGTCTAGGTCTGGTCAGTGCTTGGATATGGGTGATCACCTGGGTACCACACGTAAGACATCTTGGAAGAAATGCAAGGCAGTAAATAAATACATAGATGCTGATTTCCACTGCAACGTCCTCTGTGCTATCTGCACAGACATTAGCCCTATGCAAATCGGAGTGAGGCCGTGGGTATCTGGATGGTCACTTTGAGAACAGGATTCTAGACTAAATAGGCCTTGGCAAGGATCTCCTGCCCTCTTGATTGCTGTGGCAAGCTGGAGCACCACCCACATAGATTTAAGAGTTTCGGGTGCCTACCTACTCACTAAGAGATCTACTTGTGGGAAAGTTCTGCACCCTGCTGCTTTCAAAGGGGAGTTGAGGTCCAGCAATGCACATCAGCTGCAGCCAACAGGGCCAGTGGTTAAGGGTGACTGACGTTGTAGTCTAGCAGTGTTGGCAAGTCAATAGCCTCTTTACCTCTGAGGTAGAGGATGGTGTCACATTGCAGCCTGGCTGATGATAATCATCGCTTACAGAAAGTGTGCGCAATGGTTGTTACTGCAAATCATCAGCTGGTTATAATTACGCCTTTTGGCAAGCACTGCCAAGACCTTTGCATATCTTATTCATCATCCCGACCCAACCTAGGAGGCAGGTCATTATCACAACCCCATTTTGCATATGGTATTTGGGATGGATTGAGAGACAGGGAGAGAGGAAGAATGCAAATGGGTCACTCAAGGTAACCCAGTAAGTAGCTTTCTCTCTTCCTGGTCCCACTCTTAGGGTCTGGATCCTTGTGGGTAATCCTGAGTTCTAATATGGTGAGAGAGGAAAATGATCTCCCTCTTCTGCAGGAGGCCATTGCACATGAGGAACTGAACTCTCAGTCTTCAGCAGTACATTTGGGTGGCAGCCATGCTCCTGTGCTCTTTTCCATTATCCCACTGTTACAAAGCTTGACTCTTTTGTTTTATTTTTAATCCACTTTTAGGAAACAAACGAGGCCAGCTGGATCATGCGGTCCTAGCTGTAGGTTACGGTGTCCTCCAAGGCGAACTCTACTGGCTTGTGAAGAACTCCTGGTCCACCTACTGGGGAAATGATGGCTACATCCTCATGTCTATGAAAGACAACAACTGTGGAGTTGCCACTGATGCCACGTTCCCGATCATGGCATAACCCCACCTTGCCTTGGGAAGCTCCTTCAGGGAATCCCAGAACTGATACTGTCCAAATATATATTTTGCTCTCAATCAGGACCACCACCACCCCATACGCCCAAAACTCCTAAACATCCCTAACATATTTGTTTTTGTGTGCTGAAATCTTTAGCCACAGGGCTGAAAGAGTTTTGGGGTTGTTGTTGTTGTTGTTGTTGTTTTAAAAAAGCCTAATCTCAACTATACTGGAAGCTATTTCATGAAGGCTCTCCCCCACCCTGAGAAGCAGGGTCTAAATACTACCTGGATAAATGAAACCACAAAGTCCAGTCGTCTTATAGGGATCACCCTGTTGGAACAAAAATAACTTCTGCACCTTCTTCCAATATTTTTGAGAGTCCTAATCCTCCTTGTGCTTGCTTCTTGAACAGGCCCTTCATCACCCAGTCTCTTCTTATCCTTCATCCCTCCAATTCCTTAAACTCACTACAGTCGTACCTTGGAAGTCGAATGGAATCCGTTCCGGAAGTCTGTTCGACTTCCAAAACATTAGGAAACCAAAGCGCAGCTTCTGATTGGCTACAGAAAGCTCCTGCAGCCAATCGGAAGCCCCGTTGGAATTTCGGGTTCTGAAAATAGTCACTTCTGTGTTTGTGGTATTGGGGAGCCAAAATGTTTGACTTGCAAGGCGTTCGGGATTCAAGGTACGACTGTAATAAGAATTATAGAAGCCGTTTTCTTGGGTGTTTGCTGTCCCCTCACCATGAACCCCTGTTTCCAAAGCTTTTACAAAAACCACTGTACAAACCGCAGCACAGTGTATTACGGTGCCAGGCCTGGAAATTTGCAAGTGGGTGGGGAATTCCTTAAGCCATGCACAAGCCAAGGAGCTATGTCCTTGTGGGCCCTTAGGTCAGGGAGGTGGAACCTGTGCCCTTCCAGATGTTGCTAGACTACAACTCCCATCATTCCTGAGCACCTGCCATGCTTGCTGGAGCTGATGGGAGTTGTAGTCCCAACACCACCTGGAGCCCAGCAGCTCTGCATCCCCACATCCTGGAGTGCAGGATTCTTTTTACATGAAAGGTGATGTACAGCAGTTGTAGAAGGATGGGTGATCAACTATGGCTTTGTCAAAGCTCCATTCTCAGGTGTTCCTTCCTCTTCTGCATCAGCTGCTATGGCTCTTCCCAAGTGAGCCAATTAAAAATATGTACATACCATGTGTCCTTGTCTGTCTTATTACTTCTCACAATGCACTTGGCACAGGGTTGAAGCAACATCAGGAAGACCAAGCCAGTGAATAAAGGGGGGGAGGTTGGAGTTTCGCTTCCTGAAACTGGAGCTTACATCTCCTCTAGCTTGAGGAGTTGTGGGAGATCCTTATTCCCTCAGGTTTATAGTCTGAAATACGTGACACCCAAAAAAAAGGGATAGGGAGGGAGCGAGAAAAACAGCAAGTGCAGGTGCCAGCTCTTAAGGTTACAGTTCTTCTAATGGCAGCTGATCTCTCAGGAGAAGCAATGGAAAAACTCCTCCTCTCTGCAGCCTGACAGCATGAAAGCCAGGGACCAAAACACAGAAGGCCCTGTCTGCGCTGTACAATCAAAGCAGTTTCATACCAATTTAAATAGTGGTTTAAACGTTCCTCTTCCTAGGGAATTCTGGGAATTGTAGCTCTGTGAGGGGAATAAAGGTAAAGGTACCCCTGCCCGTACGGGCCAGTCTTGACAGACTCTAGGGTTGTGCGCCCATCTCACTCAAGAGGCCGGGGGCCAGCGCTGTCCGGAGACACTTCCGGGTCACGTGGCCAGCGTGACATCACTGCTCTGGCTAGCCAGAGCCGCACACAGAAACGCCGTTTACCTTCCCGCTAGAAAGCGGTCCCTATTTATCTACTTGCACCCGGGGGTGCTTTCGAACTGCTAGGTGGGCAGGAGCTGGGACCGAACAACGGGAGCACACCCCGCCACGGGGATTCGAACCGCCGACCTTTCGATCGGCAAGCCCTAGGCGCTGAGGCTTTTACCCACAGCGCCACCCGCGTCCCTTGTGAGGGGAATAGGGGCCTCCTAATAGCACCCTTCACAAGCTACAGTTCCCAGGATGCTTTGAGGAAAAGTTATGAAGGATAGTGCTTTAAACATGAGGAAAAGGGAACTCAGGTGTGTGTATATACTTGCCTGCTCAGACAAAAAAAAAATGCCATGATGGCACATTGCCCCTAGGCCTCATGCACACAATTATGTCATAGAGCATGGTTATTAAAAGGGATTCTGTGCTGGTGGAGTTTATTAAGCATTAAGTTGGCCACTTGACACACCAGTTATTAGTGCTGGGAATAACTGCGTGGAAAGTGTTGCCATGATCAAAGGCGCGCATAATTTTGGTGGCAAACGCTTACTCCAGCCACAGGCCTTCATTAGCCGTCCCTGCCTGGAGCCATTTCGGTGGTTTCGGCAGGGCAGCTAAAGCCTAATCTGTCTTTAAGAGCTACTCTCGCCCTATAGCTAGCCCTGAGAAAGATTAGTTCTGTGAGGGTGTCAGGTTTTAGGGATCTCTCAACAACCTCCGAGGACTGTAATTCATGAGGTGGGGGCCATGAAATCCTATGTAGCTTCTTGTTACACTTTTCATAGACCACTTTTCCTCAAAGGAGTTCAAGGTGGCATGTCTGGTTCTTCCCCACTCTCCATTTCACAACAACCCTGTGAGGTTGGTTAGGTTGAGTGGCAGTGACTGGCCCAAGATCATACAGTGAGCTTTATGACTGAGTGGGGATTGAACCCCTATATGGCAGTATTCTGACCCCTCCCCCCAGCCACAAACACATTGTAAAGGAAAGGCCCTGTATTTGACATCGTTTTAAAGATAAAGGACCATTAAGAAGGGAGAACAAGAGCATTTTTTGGAAGTTTCCCATCAACTGTTTTTATTTATTTGGTTGATTGCACTTTCCGCAAAATACCTCGAAGCGATTTCACAGATCAAACATCAACAATTAAAAGCAATCCCATATTTAAAAACAACTTCAAATGCAGTGCCGATATTGGCTGACAGCAAACAGTGTTAGAAACTCAGATATTTAAGCTAGGTGCCAAATGGCTTCTTAAACCAGGGTTACAGCTGCCAAAGTGGAATGGCTAGTTGCCATTTTGGAGCCAAATGTATTTTTCAATACAACTTCTTGGTTCCTGAAATTCACTCTGATTGTGAAGATAAAATATAATGGGGAGAATTCTACATGGTGCGTTGCTAGTGTTTCAAAACAGTCAAGATCCAGGGATCCCCAGGCATGCGCCTCCAGATGGTGGAGACATCAGATGCCATCCTGGCAGCCGAGCATCTTCATTTGGTCACAAGTGGCCGATAGCCAGGTGCAAAATGCAAATTTCGAATGCTGCTGAGGAGGCACACAGGGCACCTGGTCACTGCGTTACTCTGATAAAATGTTATTTCTATTACAAATTTAATAAGATTTCATATAAATTTCATATAAACCAGCATTTGGAAAAGAATTATGTAAGTCTGTGCCCCCCTTTTTGTCGTCTTTTTGATGATGCACTTCTCTTTTCACCCTAACCAGGCAAACTGGTGAATTCCGGGCTCACCTAGTGTGGTGGTTGTGGGAACACAGCCAGTAGTTGCTAAGCAACTACAGTATAAGGAAAGCATCTGAAACACCCAACACTTCTCCTGGGCAAAAATGAAAAGAGTGCTCCGGCACAGAGCTTTAAACTGTAGGGTCTGCCTGGAAAGCGTGGAGGAAAGGTAGATATAGCTAAACCCCGGATCTTTACTGCTGAATCAGAGCAGACGTCAGTAGGGGTCTTCCACAGACTGACATCTGCTCTGATTCAGCCTTGCTCCAGAACAACAAAAAATGGATTAGCTGCATTTTAAAGTGTTCCTTGAAAGCCCTACCCCTCTTCCCATGTGAATGGAGAGAGGAATAGGCCATGGATAGTTGCTGGTGCTCTCTGGACATGTTCAGAGGCACTATCGCTATTACTCCACATGGGCTGGTTGATGCATTCCCTGGCATTTCCTGGGACATGGCAATGCTCCATGGTGGGGTAAGCAACCTCCTCCTCCCCACCCCTGGAAGGGTTGCATTTCATCTGTAATAATCTTGCACATGCCACTCCATACACCCCTGTTGCCCATTTCTGTCTCTTTGGAGAGGGGGGCATGTTATGGTGATGAGTGACCTTAACTTTTCCCCCCTCTCCCTGCCACCCACATGAAATTAGATCTAGGGCTCCTCCGAACCCTGGAGCACAGATTGGCCACCTGGTTCTATGCCACGGTGGGGCCAAAAGAGAGAGAGCTCAGCCATAATCGATCCCCCATTTTGCCCTCTTGCGTGTTATCTAAGCAACAGAAATTCCCTGGGGCATCTCTGCCAGCCAGTACAGGCCTCATGTCATCCTTTAGCTACCTAATCCAATGCCAGGCACCTGGAAATACAGTACTCTCTCTGTCCCTGCATGGAAGGAACAATCTTGTCCTTCTGAGTCTTCATGGGAACTTGCCCCTGAGACAAGGGAGGAAGAGAGATTGCCTAAAGCCTTGGCAAAAGCTGGCTGTGAAATCGCTTCTGCAGCTCAGCACTTTTTTAATGTTGCCAGGCAGGCAGGAACCCAGGGACACAGAGCAAGGGGTGGATTGGGGCTCCTGGCACACAGCGGACAATGGCAAGGCTGCCCAACATGTGAGACTCCCTCTGTGCAAAGAGTGCAGCATTTGCTCATTCCAGAGGATCAGGGCAGGGGTGGGTCTGCTATGAAACTTGTTAAGTTGTGGGCGAACATGTCAGACGACACAGCGATTCTTTAAACAGCTCTTCTTTATTCAGATGCCAGAACAGAACTGGCTGAGGAGCTCAGTCAGCCTGCTTATATAGAGCTCCAGAACAATGCAACTGTTGCCATTTTCTAAAACTATCCAATCACTGAATGTCACTTTTCGATCCTTCATTTGCATACAAAACTATCCAATCACTGAATGTCACTTTTCGATCCTTCATTTGCATAACTATCTACAGTATCCCCCTGCTGGCCCAGGGTGAGAACTTCAGTACATAACAAAACTAATGAAGCTTAAGCTCCAGGGCCTCTAATCCTGGAGGGGCCTCAGAAGTTGACTTCTAGTCCACATTGTTTCAAATTTTTGGGTCACATGACTCAATTATAATTAAAAAAAATAACTGCAGCATTCCTAAAAGCGTATGGTCTGCCTTGCAGAATGAATCTCTGGCAACATGCCTTCCCCTTGGCCACATTGGGCGGATCCCTGACCAAGAGCTCTTGAAGCTGTTCAGTTGTGTAGCTGAAGAAACAGCAGCCAAGGGAATGGTTATTCACAAAAGCTTAGAAAACAACTTTTTGGACATCAGAACAGCCTTCAGACAGGCTTCAGAGGTGCATATATTAAACAGTCTACATTTGTCAGGAAGGGTCAAGGAGCACTGGATTTCACTGAAATTCAGAGGCAAACCACACACCCTCTGGGTGGGAAAACAATTATTTTGAAGACTAGAATGGTATGCTGTTGCCACCTAGTGATCAAATCTGTGTATAGCACCTCCGTAGCCCAGCAGAAGGAATGGAAAATGTGTGTAGTTTGTCGCAATGAACTTCTCCACTGGCAAAAGACATGTAGGACAGTGGGGGAATCGGTATTGCCAGATGCATTTGCTGTGCATGGGATTTGAAGGAGAACTATACTAGCTCCAGAGCAGAAAGCTGGAATGTACAGCACGAAGTTAGAAAAGCACCATTTCCCCATCTGAATGACTAGGTCTCTGCCAGGTATGTTCTGTTTTGTTTTTATAGGAAGGGCTCGTCCACACTTCCTCTTGTCCTGTGCCTTGAAAGCATGGGTCCAAGCGGTTTTGCCTTTGCCCCACTGCTTTCCCCAGGAAAACCTGCTCTTTAGCGCTAAATCGGAACAAATGGCAATCCACGGGAAACCCGATTGCTGTTTGTTCCAATTCAGTGCTAAAGAGTGGGAAGAAGTGGAGGGGAAAACAGAGGTGAGGATAAGTCCTAAGTTTCTTTTTGCAAAGCATATTTGTATGTCATTTTTCACTCTTACATGCGTTTTTATGCACCCTTTACCCTAGCATATGCATTTCTCTGACAACTGCATTACATACTTTGGAGCAGTGTAAATTCCAAAGGGGTGGGTGGGTTTCAGCTCTTGTAGTCTTTCAAAAAAAGA